TTGATTAAATTCTTAAAATATTGCTTAGTCAGCAGTGGCTCACAGTTAACTGTTGTTCTGAACAATGCCACTGATATGGAAGAAATGTAGTGAAAATTATATATGGGTCATGTTGCTATATTTGTGCTTACATGCACAAATTTTAAGTGGCGTTCTATGGAATACGAGGACTCCTTCCCTTCCACATGTTTAGGAGTCTCCCTTATTATACTAGGTTAGCAAAAGTTGCTATGAGCATCATGTGGTTTTTTTCCCCCTATTCATCACTTTATATTTAAAAAGATAAAACATTAAAATTAGACAGCATTTCAATAATCATTTAAAGCATCAACATATGTGTAAGTCTGAACTCTCTGAAGTTTGTACTAAAAAGATTGGCAGTTAAGAAGCTTTGAAAATCCACAACAACTGTACATTTCATATTTCATGTTGCTAACACAATTTTGGCTAACAAACAGAGTAATATAAAAGTACAGTAGTCCTCCCTTATCCACGGGGGATATGTCCCAAGACCCCTGGCAGACATCTGAAACTGGGGATAGTACCAAACCCTGGATATACTAGGTTTTTTCCTATACATACATACCTGTGATAAAGCTTAATTTATAAATTAAGAGATTTCATGGATAGAAGATTTGTTCTTATTGTAGATCTTAGCAACATCATCATATGACTTTTTTTCTTCTTTTCTTATTAAGTTGAGAACTTTCACCTTTTCACTTATAGGAAACACTTTGCGGCTTCTCTTTGTCATATCTAAACTGCTGGCATCACTACTCTTGTACTTGGGGGCCATTATTAAGTAAAATAAGGGTGTCCTGAACACAAGCACTGCGGTATTGTGACACTGGATTTGATAACTAAGATGGCTGGCTACTGAGTGACTAATAGGTGGGTACAGAGCATGCATACTCTGGGCCAAAGGTTCATGTCCCATGCAGGACACAGCCAGATGACATAAGATTTCATCACCCTACACAGAATGGCACATAATTTAAAACTTATGAGTTGTTTATTTCTGGAATTTTCCATTTGATGTTTTCAGGCCTCAGTTGACCACAATTGACCCTGAGTAACTGAAGCTTTGGAAAGGGAAAGCGTGGATAAGGGGGACTACTGTAAATATCATTTTGAAGAAAGTAATATCTTTAAACTGCCAGTTTGGCTTTTCCAACTTTTTGTAAATAAAATAAGTGACATCAGAATTACTGATATAAGAAGTAAATTAAATCTCTATAAAGTATCGATCCCGGTGGCCAGTCTACATTTATCAATGTAGGAAGGACTCATTCCTCTAGCACATGAGAGAAATCAGGAGAGAACAAACTACAACAACTGGTTTTTATAAATTCAAAAATCAATACATAGGTATCATAGTGATCTAACAATGTAACTGGTCCAATTTGGGGATAATATCTAAATAGAGGGAATAAAAAACCACTGTTGTCACTTATCTGACACTCATTTACCTGTTTTGGTGCAGGGGGGGGTGGGGGAGGTGGATCCTTGATAACCTGTCCAAAAAAAAAAAAAATCAAATGTTAAAATCTTTGGTGGCCTAGAGAAGAATCAGTGAGGATTTGTAAAAATAGTTAGATTAGTAAAATACTGTCAAAGATGTCCCCAGTGATCCTTGTCTTCCAACATGTATGCCCCTCCCTTTAAATCTGGGCTTCCCTGGAAGGGGCTTTTGACTAACTAGCGTGAGATAGAAGTGGTACCACATGACTTCTGAGGCTAGGTCCAAAGAAGTGTTTCCACCTCTCCTGACACCCTTGAAGCACTCATTCTGAGGGAAGCCTGCTGTCATGTTAGAAGCCTGACCTCAGACCACCAAGCTGTGAGGGAGCCCAGATAACCTTATGGAAAAGCTGGGCGATGAGAAACAGGCGCTTGCCCAGTCAGCCATATCAGCTGAGGTGCCTGACATGTGAGAGAAGACTCTCTCTTGGCTATAGAGCCCTCTTAAGCTTTCAGATGACTCCAGCCCAGCTGCCACCTGACTGCAGTCACATGAGAAAATACTGGAGTGAGAAGCTCCTATTTGAGCCAGTCTTCACAGAATAGTGAAGCCACTAAATTGTTTGAGGATATGCAGTTGTGGAGTCATTTGTTAGGCAGGACTAGGTAATAAGAACCTAAAATCCACAATACTCCTTAACACACATTCGTTCATTTTATCTTTATGATATTGATATAGTAGTAGCTTCGTTTTTCAGGTGAATAACAAGAACAAAAACTGTCATATACCTTCCACAAAGTTTCACTAAGTGCTGCGTCTAATGTCAAAATGCAAACATTCTTCACTAGATTACAGTATGTCCCCTCAAACAGAGTAGTAATTGGCTAGCAAAATCATCCTGCTACAACTCGTTGACTTTTTCATAAACTGACAGCACAAAATTTAGCTCACTTTGGATGAGATACATAAGAAAATGAACATACTCGCTTTCCCCACCCTTTAGCCTAGAAACAAACCAACATCTTAGCCAAGATTCATTTCCCGTAAATCATTACTTGATATATTCTTTCATGAAATTTAATACCATTAATTCTTTATGTAAGAGGAATGGAGCCTGAGATCTAATTTAAATAACCTTTATTGGTACTGGTGTATTTGGACTTTCGCACCATCATGTTAGAAAATTATTGACCAAGTGCCAGTGGCTTCTGTCCATTCAGGTACACATCCAAATCTCTACACTAAAAAAAACTGTTTGAAAAATATAACTGCTTCATTTCATCTAATATCAAATGTGTTCAATTATATTATTAAATTTTCAAAAGTTTAAAACAATAACTTTGAAAAATGACTATCATCAGGGAATTACCGTATTTCCCCATGTATAAGATGCACCCTTTTTCAAAAAATTTGGGGTCTGAAAACTGAGCGCATCTTATACCGTGGTTGTAGATTTTTTTATGTGCATTTCCCACTTTTTCACGCTTGTTGTCTTTGCGCTTATTGTTTCTCACTTGTTATCGGTATATTAGGTTACATTTTGCCACGTTCTGCCCAGAAATGGCTCAGGAAAGATTTTTGTACAGTGCTGAATTCAAGTTAAAAGTGATTCAGTTTTGCAAAAGTGAATGGAAATCGTGCTGCTGAACGTAAGTTTGGTCCTCCTCCAACTGAGAAAACAATCCGAGACTGGCTATGGTTGGGAGTTTTGACAGTGATGAGGAGTTGTATGAATTTTATGATGAATAAAACTTGAGTTCAATAACTTTATGTAATACATTGTTTTTCAAATTTCAGGCCCCCAAATTAAGGTGCATCTTATACATGGGGAAATACGGTACTATTTAGGTATATTGCTATTATCCTGCATATGTTTTTTAAAGACTGCTTGTCTTTTAAAGATATATACTGAAGTGTTTCCAGGTTAAATGATATGATTCTGATATTTTCACCAAAGTAATCTGGGGTCGGGAAGTAAATGGGATTACAGATGAAATAAGATTAGCCATAAATTGAGAATCACTGAAGCTGAGTGAAGGAGGCATGGAAGAGTCATCATTTTAGTCTTTCTCTGTGTGTATGTTTGAAATTTTCCTTAATAAAAGGTTTTAAAATTTTTAATGCTAATGTTTAGAGAAATGACTCTTTACTTTTTATGTGTAATGTTTTCATCATTCTAATTTTAGTTTAGATCTAAATCTCAGGGAAAAATACACAAACAGTAATTACAACCACACAGATATAATTGGACAGTAATTTAGTTTGAATCTCAACCTAACTCACTCTTGTAGCCTTCAAGTTTTTGAAGTTTGTTATTTCTATATAATCCTTTACTTTATTCAATTTTATTTTATCAGTAAACATAAAATTCTAGTTCTTTTTAATGATTTTGAAACATAAAAATCTTCGAATTTTTACAGTTAGCCCAGAAATAAATGCCAGTGGAGGATTAAGATTTAAAATAATATTATAGTAAAATAAAATAAAATTAAGGTTATCAAGCTACAGGTGCATTTCCTTTATAAAAACAAAGCACCTTATATCATTATCAACTACATGTCCAAAATCGATCATTGAATCAATCATTGATCTGTCAACATTTCATACTCAGCAGGGTCAAACCAACCTAAACATCTTCATTTAAAAGCGAACTCTTCTTCCTATCTTTCCTGTGTTTTTCAAGTAAATCACTCTTTCTAGTTACAACCTCAAATTTTTCACATATCTATAATTTTTCCTCTCTTCTAAATGACTTCACCAAATCATTTACCATGTCCAATTCTTTGAAATAGTCCCCTTCTTCCATGAATTCTCTCAATTTTCTCAAAGCAGGTCAGATTCCCTTCATATGCTTAGATGCCTGTTTGTTTTCCCCTAGCATTTATCAGCATTGATAACTTTTTCTAGGTCCAAAAAACTATAACTTCCATTAAGATGGGTTTTATGTATTTATTCTTCACTGTATTCCCAGTACTTAGCAAAGTTTCTATTTTATAAGGAAGAAGAAAGGAAGGGGGGAAAGGGGGAGTTAGGAAGAGAGGAAAAGAAGAAGGTGGGAAAGGTAGAAAAAAGGAGAGAGAGAAGGAGGGGAGGGGAAGGGAAGGGAGGGGAGGAGGAAACAGGGAAGAAGGACAGATTCTGGGCATTCCATTCTCACTGTCACTACCTAAAATCATAAACTCAAGATTCTCTGGACTTTAAAAATATGTAGTGTAACATTTTCAATTTCTCCAATGAATTTAACCAAAACTTCAATATTCTGAAACATCCCCACCAAGTTGTAGTCCAACTACGTTTGAACTCCTGCAATAAATAGAAATTCATGACCTCACAATGCAATTCATTCCATTGGCAAGGAACTCACATCATTTGAAACATTTTCCCCCCAAAGAAGCCAAAGCCTCCCTCTCTGTAGTTTCCACTCTTTAGTCATGATCCCAGGACATGGAAATATACATACACAACTGATTTTTCTTCCAGAAGAGAGCACTTCCTATTTTTGAATATAAGGATAATATACATGTATCTATTGAGCCTACTTATCTGAAGGTAAGCATTGAAAGCATTTATCATGAAATGGTTCTGCATTATTTAGTTATCTTGGTCAGTTTCTTTAGTATATAGTCATTTGATCAATGTCTCAAAGTGTGGTTTGCAGAACTGATAATATGTGTGAATGGTGCTCAGACAAAACAGATGTACCCCCACCAGTCCTCACTCTCATTCTATGCATTTTAATTAATAACATATTGATAACATTGATTGATAGTCTATAATCACCATAGCTTTTTTTTTTTGCATCAGTGTCTACATGCTCTCTTTACTTAAATTCGACATCTAGCTTGTTTGTTTGTCTCTAATCCATCCTTCATTCTAACCTATGTAGTCAGGCAATATTCAACAAAAGCTTAATTGATCATTTCTCTAGTCAAAATGGGTCAATGGTTCCAATGACCACAGTGGAAATCAGGAAATTACTGTATTTTATTTGAACAACTTTACAAGTCCTACTTTTCCTCTTAGTTCTGCAAATTACATAAAATGTTCTCCAAAGTTCTCTCACTAGAAAAAGATCAATATACATCCTTCAGTCCACTAACTTTGAGTATAATGTATGTGAACTTATTTTCATTTCCTTTGAGGATTTCAAATTTACTCTGCTTATTACCTGTACATCTTATCTTACGCTGGTATATAAGTTTCTGAGGGCATAAATAGTATCCCCAAGCTTCCTTATATCTCCTGAGAATTAATGAGCATCCCCCTCCATGACTCGGCCTTTGTTGTTTTTTTAAGTATCACTCATTATCCTGCATAGCATCTATTAATAGTATTACATTGATATGGGCAAACTTAATTTAAATTTAATATCCTTTTGTGGTCACTGCAGACAAACTCACAACAGGATAATGAGAAGTATCTTTGGATTCTTTCACTTGAAAGGAGACTCTCTATCTCATGCCCTAAGCTACAACCTGGAAATCCAAAGCCCCATTGTAGTGCATTTAAGTGAGCCAGCTCTTCTATTCTCATTGCTCAAACACCTCAGCATGGTACAGTTCTGCCCTAACAGCCTGTTTACAAACATCCCTCTACATTTACCTCTCTTTCAGGAAGACTGAAAACCCCTTTGCTTCTCCCAAATAAAATGACCATTTCCATGCTAAGTCCCATCCAGCCTTCACAGACTAGTCTACAAACTTATGAATGCTTTATCTGCAAGTGTTAAAACTTCTACATCTATATGTTGCTGCACCAGTTGAACCATTCATCGTTCATTAACTTGTGTTTCTATGCTTATCTTGGAATTTTTCAATTAACCTTTAAGAATGCAGATTTCTTAAGGGCAATGATAATTTCTTCTTTTTTATAAATATCGCCAGTACCTAAGAAAGTGCTCTGCAAACAGCAGATACTAAAAATATGATTGAAAGTGAGCTGAAGGAAATAGCTGAGAATATTCACAGACTCATAGCCAACCTCTAAATTTATAAGAAAAAATATATACATATATATTTATATATAAATGATAAACAGAGATGGTTTCCATGA